CTATTACACTAAGGAGTTTTTTTGGAGTGTTATATTAGAGTGTTACGTTTGGAAAAAATACAGTAAAGAGTTTTTTTATGTGTTACATTAGCGTATTAGACTAGGAATTTTTTTTTTTTTTCATGTTACATTAGAGTATTACATTTGAGTGGTACATTGGTGTATTATCGTTTGAAATTATACATTTGGCCAAAACTTACCAAGTAGTTTTTGTACTCAATTTGAAATGTTTGAAAAACCCCACATCCTTTTGAAATGTTTGAAGAATCCCATATTTTAAGTCATTTTTGTTTCGAAATGTTTTCCAAATAAAAAAGATTTTTATATAAAAATTCATCCCACATTTGATTCTCATATATTGTGTACCTTACCTTTTTAGCACAAAAAAAAAAAAAAAAAAACAACAAAAAAAAAAAAAAAAAAAAAAAGAGGAGCATAATAGAAATAAGGGTATAACCGTAAATCTAATTTTTAAAGAATATACTAAATCTACCTTTCTAAAATCAATGAGACTAATTGGTCTATAAGAAAGTCCTTAGGATTAAATGGATCACCATTTCTCAAGATGAAATTTGTACGTAAATTTTACAAACAAAAAAAAATTAAAAAAAAATAATTTAACAAGACAAGATAAAAAAAATATTGATTTTTATTTTATTTTTTTTAAATAGAGAGAGTTTGGTTTTGAGTTTTGAAAAAAAAAATTGAAAGCAGTTTTGAAAAGAGTTTGGTTATGTGTTTTGAAAAAGTTTTGAATTGAGTGTTTGGTTATAAGTTTTGAAATTTTTTAATTAGAATCATGATTCAAATATGAAACCAAACACTACCAAAGTTTTTAATTTTTTTAATTAAACCCTTGATTTTTAAATTAAACATAATAATAACCATCCATCTATCTTTACAAAAGTTTAGAAAAAAAGATAAATAGCCTTAAAATTCTTACATAAATATATTGACTCTTTTATTTTTATTTTATTTTAGTAAGGTTAAGTCTAAATATTATGAAAATACAAGGATAATATATATATATATATATATATGTGTGTGTGTGTGATAATATCAATTTTATGTCGATATGACTAACCAATTAGTCATGAAAATTGGGTTAAATATTACTTGCATTAAAATCTCTAGGGATGTTAATGTAATTATGTTAATATTATGAAATTCACTATATTTTTACAAAACCTCATGGGAGGTCAGTGTAATTTACCTAAAATGTAAATTGAAAAAGAAAGGGATAAATTACACCATTAATCCTTGCAGTTTAAGCGAAGTGTAACTTTAATCTCCATAGTTTCAATTTGAACCCTAGACTCTTCATTTTGTTGCAATTTTGTTCTTTCGTCATGCGTTGTTAATATTTTTGGAGGAATAACAACACTCGCATAATTTCTTCCGAGTGAATCTAAAAGAAAATAATAATAGTGATTAATAACATAATTTCTTTTGAGTTTCACTTTGATTTCTCTAATTTTATATGTGGTTTTTTTTTTTTTTTTGGTTTAAAATTTTAACGACTGTAAATAATGGAGGGACAACATTGCAACAGAATTGAAAGTATGAAATTCAAATTGAAACTACAAGAACTAAGTGGAACTACACTTATACTAGCGAGAAATCATTCAATGTTCCTGGTGCAAGTTCAGGTGATGTTCCAAATAAGTAGTTATTGGTCTAAATCATAAAATCCACCACTTTTGTATTAAAATTTTAAGAGACTAAGTGCTAAGTGTTAATTTATAAATGAGAGTATTGCTCTAGGAGTATTGAATAATTTCTCCATACTAGAGGGATCAACAATGTTAAATATATATATAGATATATCATATGGTTCAGGAACATCACGTGATTGTTTTTCCATCCAATGATATATTGTTATTTCTACACCACTCTCTTGATTATATAAATATAATTATTAGGGCCTTGCTATTGCTTGGAGTGTGCTATTGATTGGACACACTACTAAGGTGAAATTTGCAGAAGAGAGGATAATTAAGAGAGAGAGAGAGAGAGAGAGAGGTGTTACCTTAGGCTCTTCCGGGAGAGGAGGTATAGTCTTCACCAACACCCTTGTTGGAGTTTGGAAGGTCAATTATCAACTTACATGCAGTTGACCAAGGTTTGAGGTAGTAGGTATAGTCGTTGGCGGATTTAAGGCTACACATGGTGTAGCAGTATTGAATATCGAGAAGGGTGAGCCTAGCATTGTGACGGTGACATAACTCGACTATGCCGTTAATGACCGTAAATGTGTTTATGGCTAGTTACATAGGGTTGAGTTTGTAGAAGTGCATCACCTCTCTAAAGCGGATATCAAGGGGGAATCTGATTCCACCCTCGATGATTGACACCACAGGAAAGGCCATGTAATTGTCCCCAGGCATGATAGAATTGTTCTCACTGGTTAGCCTAATATAAACATCGGCAGAAATGTTAAACTTCTGCCGAAAGCATTCTAATTTGCTAGGGGGATCCACCTTCAATTTGAACATCCGTATTACCTTAGCTAAGTGTGTGGAGACCAAGGGTTTGTGATTTGGGCCCTAGGGAATTCTGGTTTGAAGGCTTTGGTGATCTTGTAAAGCTTCTACGAGGTCGATGTTTTCAGTTTTCCTACAGTCCTAGCAAATCCCAAATCCTAAATATATGTATATGCAAAAACAACAGAGATGAACAAAGAATTTGATGGAGAAATCTAGAAACAGTAAGGAAAATAGATTCAGAATATGAACAAGGGAGATAGAATCAAAGCATAAGATTCAAGAATGTATGTACAAGATCAAAATACATGGATGTACACAAGATATGGAGAATAACAGAGGGAACAAGAATTCAGAAAAAGCAACAGAATGTCCAAATTATGAACAGATTTCAATACATAAATTGTACAAATAGTGTGCAACAAACAGTGAAGGTATGCTCAAGAACATGAAAGAACAAGGAGAAATAGATTGAAAATAAAAAGACTGTGAAACTTACAGATTGCATGCAGAAGAATGAATGCTATAATAGTGTTCGCCAGAGTTAGACGGTGCCTTTAATCAGAACAAAATGGTTGAATGCTTGTCGGAGGAGATGAACAGGAATGGTTGCAGAAAGGTTCAAAGGTTGTTAATGTACGTCTAGAGAGAGAGGCTCTGAGAAGAGAGCGAAAATGGTAAAGGCAGAAATGAAGAGATGAAAAGAGGGAGAAACAGTTTTGATAGAATTCAAAAGGGCGGCAAAACCCTGATTTAATAGCCTAGGGAGATGTGCTAGTGCTGACGTTAGGCGACATGGGATAGAATTGATGCGACGCGCCTAAGACATGACAAGTACAAACCTGTCAGGTGATAACACATAGATGAAATGGTTGAGATAATTATGGCATGACAGCTAATTCGTAATTCGGGTTCTTGATATTCTTAAACTAGCAGGTGATGACGTTGCCTTGTAGTATGATCTCAGTTGAGATGTTAATCTTGGATAAAAGTTCATGTTGGTTCTTGGTTCTTGATGAATGGACATTTGAGTCCTGGTTTCTTGACGCCAATGAGTAATGATCTTGGTTGAAGGAGCATCTCTAGCATGTTGTTTAACTGACATGCTATAAGATCAGACGATATAGGTTCCATTACCTCAGGTTGCCGAGGTAATAAAACCTAAGGGCAGTTGCAGGGATGTAATTTTAGGGCCGAGCTGTTGCCAAGGTACTGCTGAGGTGTTGGCCAAGATGCCACGTGGACGAGCCAGATTGCCAAGATGATTGTGGTATTGCAGAGATATGGTGCGGTAATACCGGAATCTAAGATATTCGGATAGAGGACAAGAGTCCTAGATAAGTGATATGCTTAGTTCGAATAAGGATAAGGTTCTTGAATAGTCATACATATCTAATTAAGAGTTTGAGATAAACGTTGTGCTTGAGTCATATGAAGTGAGACTTCTAGGGGATGAAGGCACTATTGGCTATAAAAGTAAAACACCTCTGTGGGTCTAAGGTACGCTTTAATTGAGAGTTGTGTTACTTGTTCGATATCTTTGAGAGATAAGTTAACTGACTTAATTGTCAGAATGTCTCTAGGTGGACGAGCCACTGTAGTATTTCTCACTCTCTTGTATGCAGGTGTTTGGCTTAATCTATTCTGCTGTGTGTTCTCCAACTAAGTTCCTTAGATCTTGAAATATGTTTGGTTGTGAGGGCAAAAATCAACACCCACATTTTAAAATGTCAATTTGTGATGCGATTACACATTTTGTCGTTGATAATACGAAATTTTATAATAAAATTACATATTTTTATGATAGGATATATATGATATGTACCCCAAAAAAATACACACCATAAGATTTCCAGCCAAGTTATGAAAATAAGATGTTTTTGTAAAAAAAACGAGCTGGTATTCAATAGTTTTCAAAATTAGAATATGGTTTTAAAAATGGTTTTTCCTCCATCATGTAGTTCAAGAATTCACTCAAATTTTAGTTTCCATCGTTGTTGCGATCGATTGAATTGAAAAGGTCTTGTGCCAGTTGCTTGAGATTGTTTGATGAAGGAGTGAACCTCTCGTAATAGATCTTAGCATTTTCAAGCATACCTATGCTGTGATGCCCCTCTAGCTTTCACCTTTTCTCTTTACTACATATTGTATTTGGTTAGAGTATTTAATGAGAGAAATTAAAAAAAGAAAAAAAAATACAATCTCATTTTTTATTTGGTTATTATGAAAAATGAAAAGAAAAAGGAAGTGAGAAAAAAATGCAATATCACTTTTTATCTATTGAATTCACTTAAGTTCTTTTCTTTCTCTATTTTTTACCTTAAACAAACATAATTTTTTTTTTTTTTTTTTTGTATTTTATTTTATTTTTGAATCAAAGCATGCACAAATGAAGGGGACCGCCACAAACATAACATAGAATCAATTCTTTTTTTCCTTTTTTAATTTTTTTTCTCTCTTCAAATTCTAAAACCAGACATAATGTCAATCATCTTTTTGTGAATGGTGGAAGGCATGTCAATCGAGAAAGACCAAAATCCAAACCAAGACCAAGACCAAAACAATGACAATGAAGATGACGACGATGATGATGAAGAAGTTGGCTGCCAATATATAAGCAGCAAGACTATTAATCTAAAGAAAAAAAAAATGTTTAAAGATTTAGGATAAAATGCATCATTAGTCCATGTGGTTTAAGGGTAGTTTTAATTTAAAAGATTTAATCTTTATATTTTCAATTTTGTTGTAATATGACATTTGAGTCATGTGCTGTTAAACATTTGAAATAGGAAAAATGTAATGTTTTGAAAAAAATTAATCACTATACATTGTTTTGAATTTCACTTTGGTTCCTTTAATTTTACACATAATTTTTTTCTATTCAAAATGTTAACAACACATAACGGATAGATCACATTGCAACAAAATTGAAAATGTGACAACCAAATTGTTCAAATTAAATTACTGAGACTAAAATGACACTTTGCTTAAATTACAAGAACAAATGATTAAATAATTTATCCAAAAAATTATTTTTCAAAAAGTAATCAATTTTTACTTTAGGTATGCTCACGTCTCACTAATTTAAATATACACTATATATATACTTTCGAGATAAATTTTCATGATCAATGACATTTTTGATATACAAGGCATGAGAAGACTAACATGATTGACTTAAAAAATATTATGAATAATGAAATTGTACTCTAAATTTATTTTAAAAAAGAGGTGGATGTAAATTTAAAATTGATGGGATGTTTGTCACGCTTAAAATGATTGTGATTCATAAATATATTTTATATTGTTGGATTGACTTGGATTATTCATTAATGCTTATATATATATATATATATATATACATATATATTTATTTATTTATTTATTTATAATTTTAGATTAATTATATTTTTAACCTTTAAAATAAAAGTCGAGATATTTTGATTTACAGTGTGTACATGGAGAAAGACCACGACGACCAATATAAGTCGTGTTATTTTGATTTATAGTGTGCATATGGAGGAAGACCACGTCGACCAAGACCAAGATGAAGATGAAGACGAAGTAGGTTGTCCACACCCCATGTTTATTTGCATACTGATATGCAAGTTTCGGCTTTATCTATGATCCAAAAGTAATTGTTTTGATGTATCATAAATGGGAAACACTTTGGTCCGCACCCTCTTTATGTTAGGGAAAATCGATGTGATTCCCCACAAGTAAATCAATCAATGGGAATAATAACTAATGCGAAAAAATTAAATCAAAGGCAACACAAGAATTTTTACGTGGTTCCCTCAATGTGAGGTACGTCCACGGGATCGAAATCCGATTCCACTATCAACCAAATAATTCCAAACGATTACAAACGAGACACTAATGGTCTCACAAAACCACCCTTAGGTGAATTCCAAATAATCTCAAATAAACAAAGAGGAAAGACCTCACCAAATAGATGAACCAAAATCTTCAGAACCAAAGTTGAAGAAGACCCAAAATAACGAACCAAATCAACACCTACTAACCAATGATGCACAGCAACAATGAACCATCAATTGAACTTATGCCCCCAAGAATCAATGTTTGGCTCCTGAATCCATGTGGCTGCCGTAGTGTGTCACTTGGAAAAATAATACACCCAAAAATTATATTGTGAATCTAAGGTTTATTATCAAACCTTAGTTGTTTTCCAATTGGATTGGGTCTCCTCAAATATAATATATAAAAATATATTATACTAAACCAAGTCAAATTAAAACTCTTTTAATAAATCAATTGGGTCCCACACTCCAATAAGGAGGTATACCCAACACTTTAATAGTGTGCATCAATTACATTTCGTTACGTTTATGATGTGTTATGTAAATGCTATATTTTTTTTAGCATTGTTATATAAGTTCAAAAATTAGATTCAATTTTTAAGTTTAATGATATGATAATCAATTAAGATATCTAAGATAACACGTGCTCTCATATCTTGTCAATCAACAATCAATCAGATTACTTACACATTAGGTCTATAAAATGGGTATAGAAAGTGGGATTATATATCATTTTTCTATTTTTTTTAATAGGAGTTACAACAATTTATGATTGAAAAATAAAATTACACAATTTTGTGGTAATATTACATATTTTGTGATATTGTTACACATTTTGTAGTTAAAAGATGTTAGAATAAAAAAATGTGTAATATTACTACAAAAATGCGTAACGCTGCCCCAAAATACGTAATTTCATCTTTTTCAACCATAAATTGTCGTAACTCTTATAAATATATATATATATACACACATATAATATTTACCACAAAAATACAAACACACTACAAAAGTATGTACCAAGGCATAGCATTTCCTATCACAAATAAATGATTATTGGCCATTGTATTTGAAAGTGAAATAAATCTAACCATTGGTTAATAATTATTAAAACCAAGTTATGAAAAGGAAATGGCTTATCTCCAGTTGAAATTTTAACTGGATCAAATAGTTGAGATTTTTGATCCGTCAGAATCATTAAAAGAAAAATTCTGATCGATAAGAATCATTAAACGGAAGACTCTTACCGGTAAGAATCTTTAAAAAAATTTAACAATGTCATATTTTCATAGACTCTTACAAGTAAGAAACCTCTGTTTAATGACTCTTACCGATAAGAAACCTATGTTTAGTGATTCTTACTTGTAAGAAACTTCAACTATCTGATCCAGTTGAAAGTTCAACTAGAGGGAAGGCAAATCCTTGTGAAAATAAGATGATTTTGTAAAAAACCAAAGTAGTATTCAATAGTTTTTCAAACTACTAGTGAAAGGGCCGCGTGCAAAACATGCTAATGAGCATTAGGGCTGTAAATCTGGCTGGGCTCGACATATGTCGGGCCTCACGGGCTCCCACCAAAAGTCGGGCCAGGCTAGGCCAGCCGATTGGCCAGAAAATTAGGCCTAGGCCCAAGGGTATTCAGGCCTTAGGCCGGCCTGGCCTTGGCCTTGAGCTTGAGCAGGCCTGACTATTTTTTTTGTTTTTTAAAAATTTTTTTATTAAAATTTTATTATTTTCCACTAAAAAAAACACTGGGTCTCGAGTGGGTTAGGCCTTGAGTGGGCCTTAACCGGGCCGATAAGATGGGCCAGGGGCTTGAACTAGGCTTCGGCCCGGGCCTAAAGGGGTCGGGCCCATCCCGAACTGCCGGCAAGCTTTGCGCCGCCCGCAGGCCGTGGGCCATTTTTACACTATTGAGTACTCAATCAAGTTGAAGTGATGTGGCAAAAAACTAAAGAGAATATGAATCTGATATTTCATTTACAACATATCTTCAACACATGTATATTTATATACAACAAACTAATTGTAACTCTAGTTACTAGTTAACTAAGGTACAGTTAACTAAGCCCCCAAAAAAAAAAAAAAAAGGAAAAAAAAAAAAGAAAGCAGCATGCAACAAAATAGTCAAGGTCATTTCAAAACACTATGAATTGGGAGGGCCGTTCTCCTAGTCAGCCGACCATACTCCGAATCAAAGGATTGCTATTCTAATATGCGTTGGTTAGTTCGCCTTACTGATTCAACAATGAAAAAGAAAAAGAAAAAAAAATGATTTAAATAAGTGTATTTTTAAATTTTTTACGAAAAAATGTGAAATATGGATTGGATTTAAAGTGATGTGGGAGAGAAGTGATGCGACTTAAATAGAATAGTGACTTTTTAATTTTTTGATTTTTTTAAATTATGCCAAACACAAGAGGAAAAACAACTCAAAGTAGTTATTGACAAGAAATAAAACAAATCAATAAAATAACAAGGTTATTATAGGCATTAACAAAAGGAAAAATAGAACTCAATAATGGATCTAACCACACAACTAAAAAGGCAAACTGTACTGCCATTCCTTATATTTTAAATATTATGTTATTTTAGTTTCTATAATTTTAGTTGGATCAATTTTGACCATAAATTTTTGACTGTCTCAAATTGATCTAATTGATTTGAATTATTAACATTTTTTTTTATGACAAATGCGTACATAAATGACATATGTTATCCTTTTTATAGTAAAATTTTACACTTGATCAATTCAATGACTTAACTTCAACCAATTTAATGAAAATTTTATGTCAAAAATCTTAACGGTGTTATCAATTGAACTCAATTGACACAAAATCTAAAATTAAAGATTAAAATTGAGCCGATTAAAATTGTAAGGACTAAAATAACATACATGACAAAATCTAGAGACTAATTTGTCCTAACTAAAAATACGAAAACCTTGAAAACCATATTGTCGTAATTGTCATTCATATTTTTAGTGACAAACATAATAAATTGAAAGGAAAATCACAATCCAGTGTAATTCTTCGGAAAAGATTTCAATTCAATGGTAAATCTTATACATTTTAATAATTAAATTTATCTGCAATTTTTAATTATTATTTTTTTTTTAAAATACCACTGAAGTGTACTTTCCCCAAAATTAAATATGCTATAAAAAATATTTAAAAAAGAATAAGCAACTTCTTCTATTACGTTATTATCCTGGTTTTGCATGAGAAGCCATTCTCTTCACCATAGCCATGTTATTATCCTGGTTTAACACAGAAAGGATTGTCACCAATGTTGAAGCATTCAGAGCAAGTGAAAAACATAGTAGGTATGAATGAATCACAGCCTTCACAGAAAGGTCTACCACTTTCAATAATATATAGTAACACTACAAGAAAAAACAGATTTGGCGACCACTTTTGGCTACTAAAAAGAATTTGGTTCTTTCAGCGACTAAAAATAAGTTTGGTCGCCAATTTTATGGGTTTTACCGACTAAAACATTTTTAGTAGCCAAAAGTATCGTTTTTACCGACTAATAAACATTTAGTAGCCAAAAAGTCAACAATTGGCGACTAATTATAATTTTGGTCACCAATTATGTGGGTTTTACCGACTAAAACATTTTTAGTAGCCAAAAGTATCGTTTTTGCCGACTAATAAACATTTAGTAGCCAAAAAGTCAACAATTGGCGACTAATTATAATTTTGGTCGCCAATTATGTGGGTTTTACCGACTAAAACATTTTTCGTAGCCAAAAATGCAGTTTTTGCCAACTAAAAAATATTTAGTAGCCAAAAAGTCTACAATTTGTGA